GGAATTCCTGAGTTCAAATACGGCCTCAGACACTTGATACTTATTGGCTGTGTGACCCTAGGTAAGTCACTTTACCCCATTGCCTTGTCCAAAAAAAATTAATAAATAATAAAATTGAATATTTATGGCAGCTCTCTCTGTGGTGCCAAAGAACTGGAAATTTGGGGGACACCTGTCAGTTGGGGAATGGCTGAACAAGTTGTGGTATTATGTTCACGATGGAATACTACTCTGCTATAAGAAATGATGAGCTCAATAATCTTAGAAAAACATGGACAGACTTTGCACAAAATAATGAAGAGCAAAATGAGCAGGACCAAGAGAATGTTGTATACAGTAACAGCAATATAGTTGTTTTTTTTTTTTTGCGCAAAGCAACTGGGGTTAAGTGACTTGCCCAGGGTCACACAGCTAGTAAGTGTCAAGTGTCTAACTGAGACCGGATTTGAACTCAGGTCCTCCTGACTCCAGGGCAGGTGCTCTATCCACTGCACCACCTAGCTGCCCCCAGCAATATTGTTTTAAGAACAACTTTGAGCAACTAAGTCATTTTGACTATTATAAATACCCAAATTAACCAAAAAGGACCTATGAAGGACAATGCTGTTTGAATCCAGAAAGGAATATTGTTGTCATGTAGGAAATGATGAGCTGGTTGATTTAGAAAAACATAGAAAGACTTGGACTTATGAAGGAAGATGTTATCTACCTTCAGAGAAAGAGATGATAGGAGGAAATGAGCATAGCACAGTCTTACATATATGTGTATATATGTCTATATTTATAATTATCTATATATGTCCACGCTTAATTGCAGTGGGGTGGGGGGTTGGGGGGAGGAAGAAAAGAGAGAGGGGGGAAAAATAAAGTAAAACATACATAGCAGAGAACAAAAGAAAACCAACAAGGAAGCAAAGCTGGGCAGCTTTAAAAACAATGTGTAGTGTTTATTATATAAGTTTTCTTGAAATGGAAATTTCTTGTTTTATATTGAATCTTCTCTTACAGTCTGCTGTGCACATGGAAATGTTTTTTTTTTCCTTTTCTCATTTTGTATTTAAATGTAAAATTTTTTAAAAAGTACCCCCCCCCCAAAAAAGATCCCACAGCAACTCAGAGGGGGAGCCAGGACTAAGACCCAAGTCTCCCACGCTCCAGTCTGGTGCTGTCTCCACTTCACCACAGACCTATCCTGTTGGGTTTGTCCTCCTGGGGACAAAGCAACCAGGAAGGGACCTCCCAGGGCTGGGAGATGAGGTAAACAAAATTGCCCTGGTGATTAGAAGCAGCATCTCTTAAAGCCTCCTTGGGAAAAGCTCTCACCTGCAAAGGAAGGCTCCCAAAAGAGATCTCTGAAGCATAGTTTTGTCTAGACCAGCAGTAACCCTGTAACAGTGGTCAATCCTCCTGAAGGAGGAAGGGAAATGACTTTCCCCCTCACAGCCTGAGGACAGTACCCAGGGGGTCCAGCCTCAGTCTAGTTCCCATCTCTTCTGCAGGGTTCTTTTATTTTGTATCTGAAGTCAAGGGCATGAGTGGTGACTCAGGGACGGGGCCAGGCCTGAGAAAGTCACTGGTAAATGCTGCAAAGGCCGGTGATGGTAGTGGGAATGATTGGCTCTTCACAGCAAGGGAGGGAGAAGAGGAAAAGAAGGTGGAGAAAGGAATGCTTTTTTTTCTATCAGCAGATATTTCTCCAATTCCCATTCTAGGCCAGTTGTTCTATACTGTGAGGGGGACAGATGAATGACAACTGGCCCCAGATGTCTCAGTCTAGTAAGGAAGATAAGATAGGTCCACACATAGGTAAAAAAGCCAAGATTTGAACCCCTGCCCTCTGTTCCTGAGTCCTTGAGAGAAGAGCCTATGTGTTACCACTTCTGATCATGTCCTCACCATGCTGGCTGCTCCCTGGTCTATTACCATCAACTTCATCTTCTTTCCACTGGAAATTCAGACTCTGCCCAAGGGTCCCCTAGCTTTGATAGGTGAACTTTTGCCCTACAGGGCTGGAGCCCAGACCTCTAACCCACTTCCCAGCAGTGTAAGGGGTCTGTCGGGTTCCAAAGCCCTAGCCCTAGCCCAGAATCCCAGCATGTGATGTCTTCCCCCATTAGAATGCAAGCTCCTTGAGGGCAGGGATTATCTTGCCTCTTTGTATTTGTTTCTTCAGTGCTTGGCACAAAATATTCTAGGGGCAGATAGGTGGTGTAGTGGATAAAGCACCTGCCCTGGAGTCAGGAGGACCTGAGTTCAAATTTAGCCTCAGACACTTGACACTAGCTGTGTGACCCTAGGCAAGTCACTTAACCCCAATTGCCTCACCAAAAATGAATGAATGAAAGAATAAATGAATGAATGAATATATAAATAGATGAATGAATAAATAAATAAAATGGATAAAATAAAAATATACATATTCTATCTACCTATCAATCTGCTGAAAATAATCTGTTAAGTGTTGACATAACTAATTCTATTTTGTTCTTGTTCTGTATTTGCCAGTTTAGTTTTTGTTTTGTTTTGCTATGTGATGTCTCAGCAAGCTCTCTTTCAATATCTCCCTTCCCCCCTAATCTCTTTGGGGCTATAAAAGACAAAATATCCCAAGGAAATTATCTCCTGATAAAGCCTGTAGTAGGCCCTTAAGGAATGCGAAAATGATAAAGAAGGCACAAGTTTACTTTGGTTTGTATAAATGGCCATGCAAACAAGGACACATTCTTTCCCTTGTAACAATTTCAGCATCCTCTTTTTGTAAAAAACACATCTTCCCTAGTTAATCTCTCTGGGTTACACAGCTCAAGAAGAGAGAACACACACACACACACACACACACACACACACACACACACACACACA